GTGCTGTCTTTTGATATCTTTTTACCTGCTTTACTTTATCAGACAGGTTCTATTTAAGTGATTTCTTAATTCAGCTGGTCTGACAGTAATCAGACCTGGGTGTGACTAGTAAAAATTAAACTGAGCTTTCCAAAATATTTGGATAATCACAGTTAATTTGTGATTTAACAAGGGTGGACGATTAATAGGTTTTTTTTTTTAAAGGTAGGTAGGTTTGGATTTTTTCCCTCAATGAATGAAATCATCATTCAAAATGTGGATTTTGAATTTACTCCAGCTCTGCATACAAGCATCGCAAGGCCATGCTGGTCTCTTTAGACTACGGCAGCTTTGACAAACAGTAGCCTTTTTAAAACAACAAGTGCCACTATTTGAGGTTTAAGACTAAGACTAGAGGCTGATGACAGAGTCTGTTTTTTTAGACATGTAGTTGTGATATTTTTGATAAAGGGCATATCTGGATATGATCATCAGCCCATTGTTCCTTCAGTGGGCTGGTTTCAGTCATTATGCAAATGTATTGTTTATAATAATGTAATAATAATGTATAGTTATTGTAATGTATTGTTTATAATGTTGAGGAAACCTGCAGTCAGCTGAGACTGAAGAAATCACTTGGATGAGTGACGAAACGTTTCTCCCACAAAACGCTACGTCCAGATGAACAGAATCAACTTTTGGAGATTTACTTTCCTGGATGATTGAGAATGCATCAAGAAGATCATCAGCATAGTAAAATTTGTATTACCTGTCCACACTCAGAGCACACAGGCTGAGGACGGTGATGCCGGCTGAAGCTTTCTGCACAAAGGGAACCAGCTTGCAGAGGAACAGCCCAAAGTCATTCTCGGCAAAGGGCCACCTCATCGCCAAGGGCTGCACACACACACATACACACACACACACGGACAAACCGAGAGAGCTTTAAAACAGTGTGTGAGCAATCACAATCAGCAGGATATTTTTGGGTTGTTATCAGTACGACACTCAACTTCCTGATAGAGACACTCTGCTAGGAAGTGGTTTTGTTCCCCCATCATATTGTCCATGTTAGTGCTACACAAGTCATAAATATTAAACCTCCTGATATTGTCAAATGTACTCTTAGAGTTAGGCTTTGATGTTATTTTAGCCACATGCTAAACTGGCAACTTTTCAGAAAAAGATTCTTTGGCTTCCAGTAAATCTCAGACTCCCGCTGATATCCCAGATCCACTGAGACCTCGTTCCAACCTCTCCCACTATCTGATCAGAGCCTTTTAACTCTTCTACTCTTTTGAGCTTCTTGCACTTAAATTTTCTTCAGGACTTTAGGTAAAAACTTATTAAAGGTCACATGTTTCTTAAATGCTACCTTTTGGGATTTTCAAGTCAGTAGATTATGAAAGCGATTGACATGTTAAAAGGATTAATACATATAAACTTAAGTCCGGTACCTTATAGACATGGATCGGCATGACTATTGCGATGTATATCAGGTCCCCAAGGGCGAGGCTGGCTATGAGAG